TCAATGGGTGCATGTCAGATCCATCCTTATTTCAACTTTTTTCTTTTGCTATTTTATGTTTACATCTTAAATTTCTTTCTCGTTGAAGAAACTATTCTAAGGGTTTTAAGATACATTGTGATTTGTGTGGAGCAAATTTGTTTGTTTAACTATGTGTTTGTGTGAAATAACATTTTTACTATGATTAGTGCGTAGAATACTTTAAAATGTTGACGTAAGATTGGAGAATCATATCAACAATCCAACCACGTGAACGTCCGATTAAAACAAAATAGTCGTTGATCTTTCCGCAAGTGACTGACAACGTCAGCAACGTAGTCCCACAACTAACTTTGGCTCATTTTTTGGGCTAAATTTAGCCAAAATTAAGTTTTAACCAAAAACCCTTTTTTTTAGCCAAATAAGTTTTAGGTGAGTTTAAAACTTAACTTTTGAGTTTTAACCCAACCATTGGAGTTGGTCTAAGGGTTTTTTTTTTTTTTTTTTGTCAAATGATAGATTTGTTAGGTTAGATGTTAGGTTAGGGAGCTGACAAAACTCATGCCGTGGTGCAAGGATAACACTCATTTTCACCACTATGGTAGATAGCCACTTACGAATTGGTCCAAGTAGGGGTGGGCAAATGAGTATAGGTACCGCAGGTCGAGGCAGGTAATCACGGTTCGGGGCGGGTACGGGCCGGTTCCTAATATTTTAGAGAACAAACGGGGCGGGCCGAGTCCAAATACTTTGAAAAACGGGTACCCGGACCGACCCGTTTCTAATTATAATGAACGGCCGAGATTGAATGATTACCTATCACCCAAGGACCCATGGACCCGACCCGAATCGGCCCGTTTGTAACGGGTCGGGTTCAATCCGATTCCTGTAATGAAATATGATGTACCCGGCTCGTTTCTCTTAAACTCCGGTCCAGTCTAGTTTCTTCAAAATTAGGCACGGGCAGCCCTAGGTCCAAGGGTTTTAAGAGACTATGATTTGTGTGGGGAAAATTTGTTTGTCTACCTATGTGCTTGTGCGAAATAATTTTTGTACTTGATTAGTGTTAGAATCTTTGAAATATTGATATGAGATTGGAGAAACAGACCAACAAACTAAATTCCGACATGAATAATGTTATTTGAATTTTCAGTATTAAATTTAGGCCGAAAATAGCTGTGCGAAGGAAATAAAACGATGAAGCGATTCCAAGTTGCAGCTTTTGACAATAAAGATTATTTTTGCCATTTTATTATCATTTAGTAGGTTAAAGATTGATTTTGAGTTTTAAAGGGTTTTTCTTGGGAATTTTGTAATTTTCCGCTTTATTTTTCTTTGGCATTTATTGAGACTATTTAAACAATTTTTAGATTGTGTTCGAATCATCTTATCATATTATTTAATAAAATTTTGAGATTTTAAAAACATTTGAACTTCTAAAAGTGGCCGTTCGTGATACTCGAATTATAGTTACATCGTGGCAAGTTTACCGCAAAATCTTTGTACCAATTGCAATCATGCTACACATGCATTGTATTTGTATGTACTTAATTTATCTTTGTTAGTCATGCAAGTAAGATGCATTAACAACATTAGCCAAAATACAATGAAGTCGGCCGCCGTCAGATACGCTGTTGCACCCAACCGCCGATTACCTGGTGGTAACCATATAAACGGCAGTTGAAATGAGGGTCACGTTGTAATATGTATATAGCCAACATTCATACCATGTTCATAGTGATTTGTAATGTCAAAAAAGAGTAATCATTTTCTATGTTACTAGCGTTCATGCACACGCTCACAAGACATTTTTTAAATCACAGCTTGTTACACGCGACTTACACGTTTTAAATATATTTATATACGTAAATTGACAAAAGGAAAGTCAAATATTTGAAGTAAATGAATAATCTTAGATCATGCTAGAAGAAACTTCTCATAAACCAATTAAAGTAGTTGAATTCACATAATAAAATCGGTCTCTATAAAATTTAAATTAAGAATAGAGAAAATAATATTTAATAAACAATTGATTGAATCACATTATTACTAACCCACTATGAGACTAAACCCAGCCATTTTCCCTTAGTGTATATAATATTGTTTGTTAAAAAAAAAAAAAACAATCATTTAACAACTAATTTAATCACATTATCAGTGTGCGAATGACCTTTTTTTTATAACCGGCATTACACGCCTCTTAAGATGTTTTGAACGTGTTTAAAAATAAAGAAAATAATATTTAATAAAAAGAACTGATTGAATCACATTATTACTAGCCCATTGTGAATCTAAGCCCACCAGTGTAGATAATATCGTTTGTTAAAAAACAAATCATTTGACAACTAATTTAATTACATTATTATCCGCGTGCAAATGACTTTTTTTTTATAATCGGCATCACACGTCTCTTAAGATGTTTTGAACCTGTTTAAAAATAGAGTTGAATCACATTATTGCTAGTCTACTATGAGGTACTAATTAAAAAAAAAAAACCATAAAAATTTAATTATTACAAAAATATCGTTAAAATGATGAAAATGCCCCTGCCTTATTTGATGTATTTTTTGGGATGTCTTTGAAGTTTTTTGTCTTGGGGGCATTTTTGTTCAATTATTTTTGTTCAAACTTGGTGACACCAAAATCACTATTTACCTTTTCCATTGGCTTTATGTTTGATAGTTTGATGCATTATTTTAAGATGCTTTTGAAGTTTTTTGTATTGGAGATATTTTTGTCCAAATATTTTTGTTGAAGCTTGGTGACATCAAAATCATTATTCACATTTTCCATTAGCTTTATATATAGATAAATAAATATTAATTTCGAATTCCGGTATGCAGAAATGTGAATGGAATGTAAAGATATTGGTGACTCATAACGACCTAAATGGACAAATCAAATGTCGTTGCCAAGATAAAGTGTAGTTTTCTAAACGGAACAACTTGTGGTTTGCCGCCACAATTCATATTTCTGAAAGTCATAGAAATATTTGTATCTTTCTATCCATCATCGTATAATTCACCTACAACAGATATTGAATCCAAAATTTACCGTGTAGAATACAAGCCTAAAATTCATTTTCAACTACTGATCCATCTGGTGGTAGTTACCAATTCAAAGTCAGGGACGTTTGAATTTGTTGAAGATGCGTTAAGTTTCAATTCTCTTTAATTTTCTAATAACTTAATTTACCTTTGACCAATTTTTTTATTTTATAATTTTACTGATTTTCTTTGTAAATGTAGTTTTGTTATGTGTTTCTGAAAGTTGGTTATGTGAATTGCAAATGATGTAATTAGCAGTAAATTGTGGCACAAAATAAATGTTAGGAGGGTATTGAATCGAATCAAAAGTTTAAAACCTAAAATTCTTATAGTAAAGTGAAATAAGATTCAAAGTTTTTAAAATCCTTCCATTTACAACTTATTAAATAGTTAGGCTTATAATTAAAATGTCTCTTGAAATTGTTATTTAGTCTCAAATGATCCTATAAAACTGGTTTTGTCTTACTTTGTTTCTGAAACTAACATTTTCAACTTTTTTTGTCTCACTTCACTCATAAGCGTATTGTAGACTTTTTATTTTTTACACATCAAATTACTTCGAGCCTACTCATTAAACCAATCTCAATTCCATTTTTGACAACTTTAATTCAAACCCCATAAGTGAGGGTCTTTTTTAAGATAACTTATTCAATAGAAAAATTATAAGCAACAATGTGAAACTTTTGGTTATTGCAAACTATGCACATTTGCTTTAGATGATTTTTTTTTTTTGGGGAAGTATTCTGGATATGATAGCTTAACGTTTTTTTTAGGTTATATTTTGTGCAATTGATCTAAAATCATTTTTCAATTGATCTAAAATCATTATGGTTAGACTAATTTCGATTAAAAAGATATCTTGAAATAGGCTGATCATATTTCATTTCTCTTGTAATGTGTATTTTGCAAGTGAAAAGTTTCGAGCCAATATATGATACTTTGCAAGTGAAATAACTCTAAGAACAAAAATGTAATCCTTATGTGGTTGATATAATGATTTTGTTGCTAGGAATTTTTTATTAATCGAATAATTAAATTTTTCTTCTTCTAACAAACGATATTATCAACACCAAGGGATGTGTGAATTTAGTTTCACAATGGGCTAGCAATAATATGGTTCAAATTTTCTTTTGGCAAGAATCGAACCTAAAACCTTTCATTTACAAGTGAAGAGGAATATCATTAAACCGTAATACTAAGTGACAATAATTAATTTTTTTTAAAAAAACCCCCCAAAAACTCATGGATTTGAATTAGAGTAATAAAAAAAATTGAGATTGTTTTATTTCGTATGCTAGAGGTAAATAGATGTGTAATAACAAAAGTCTAAAATACACTTGAATTTTACAGGTCTTTAACGGAATGGAGTGAAATGAGATCAAAATAGTTGAAAATGTCTAAACAAAACCAATTTAAAAAGGTAAATTCAAACTAAATGATAATTTCATAGGGTATTTCAATTAATAAGCCAAATAGTTAAATGATGTTAATATATGAATTTTTTTTTTTCTAGAAACTACCGGTATTTTCTAAGGGAATTGTTATTAACATTCTAAAAATCTTATTCTACACTCCAAACTTTCTATATTAAGAAAGGAAAATACACTTGTGAGGAAGAATGCAGAATGATATTTTTGAAGTACCAATAACACTTCCCTTTTCTAATCCCTTCTATTATTTTTGACAGGTGATGTACCAATTTTGGAGGCAGATTCTTTGCCCTCCCATTTCTCATGCCCTCCTGTTTTATGTGATCACAGTTAAGCCACGTCAACATTTTATATTATTTTTTTTATAGAGATAATAAGATAAAAAATAATAATATAAATTGTTAACGTGATTTAACTGTGACCACATCAACAAGAATGCATGAGAAGTGGGAGGGCAAATAATCTGCCCCCACCAATTTTAAATGCAAAGTGTATTAAAGCTCAGGCCAGCGTACACCGACCTACGCGTTAATATATTAAATAACCCTCAAAGCTGATCAACTCTCACTCCATCACTGTTAAGCCCCATTACGCCATTACCTTTCAGTTTCTTCTTCTACTCTTTCTCACTCTCTCGTTCTCCTCTGCTCTCAGATGGCTCTCGAGGTTGCTGTCAAGGCCGCCTTCGGCGCCCCTCATCTTCTCGGCGACTGTACATTCACATTTCACATTTCTCTCTATTTCCCTCGATTTCCTTTCTGGGGTTTGATCAAATTTTGCTAATTTGGTAAAATTTTCCATCTTTCGTTTCTGACAGGCCCTTTCAGCCAAAGGGTTCTTCTGACCTTGGAGGAGAAGAAAGTGCCCTACAAATTGCACTTAATCAATCTCAGCGACAAACCCCACTGGTATTTTTCTTGTTTTGAATTTTTGAGCCCGAAAATACATGCAGGCATAGATGGAAATGTGTGATTTTTGAATTTTCAATGGATTTTGATGTGTTTTATTTATTTATTTTTTTTTTTGTGTTTGAGGAATCGGGTTTGTGGTTTTTGTTGGTGATTTGTAGGTTTACGGAAGTGAATCCGGAGGGGAAGGTGCCTGTGGTGAAGTTTGATGACAAATGGGTGGCTGATTCTGATGTCATTGTTGGGATCATTGAGGAAAAATACCCTGAGCCTTCTCTCAAAACTCCTGCTGAATTTGCTTCTGTGTATGATCTCTCTCTCTCTCTCTCACACACATTGTTGTTTGGAGTCCGTTTGGGAAACTGTTTATGTAGGAACACTTTTGCTAGAAGTGCTTTTATTATGAACAAGTTGAGAAACACTTGGAAGTGCTTCCCGAAGTTCTTCATAACCCAGAAGCACTTTCAAGTTGTTTCTGCAAAACATTGTCAACAACGCTTTTACTCCTTGAAACAGTCCCAAGCAGGCCTTTATTTGTTCTTTTGTTACTGTAGGCTCCTCGATCCTTTTGTCTTAATTTGATTTGATTAATGTTTATTGACCTGGTAAACATCAGAGCTCTAACCTTGTAGATGCTTTATGTTTGAATTTCTTTCAGTTGTCAAGCTAATAACTTTAATTGATATGTCCTGTTGGATTGATGCTTTGCTAAACTTGAATTTGTGAGGATGTCTTTATTGCCAAATATTTCAGTATCTTTTTGTTGTGAATTTGCAGGGGATCAAAGATATTCGGATCTTTTGTGACATTTTTGAAGAGCAAGGATCCCAATGACGGATCAGAACAGGCTTTGCTTGCTGAACTGAAGGCATTCGATGAGCATCTTAAGGCACATGTATGTCCGTTTACGACATAAAGAAGAAAGAGTTAGGTTTTCTTTTAAAAAGTTGTGTTCTTTGTATTTTCTTTGAAACATGTTGTAACTTGTAATATGTTTCGAATGAAACCAGGGTCCTTACATTGCTGGGGAGAAGGTCACTGCTGCGGATCTGAGCTTGGCACCAAAACTGTACCATCTCAAGGTGGCTCTCGGTCATTTCAAGAAGTGGACTGTTCCAGCAGACTTGACCCATTACCATAAGTACACTGAGGTATGAGATTTTTATGCATGATGCTGCATACTGGAGCTTTATATTTTGCGTCTTCCACTAAACAATTGTTCAGTGTATATGTTTTTAAGTAGGAGATAATTTTTGTTCTAGTAAGTTTTTAGAGTGCGCTGAACGGTTGAAGTTCTGAAGCTCCTTTTACTTCTGTTCGTTATCTGTTGTGATTCGTGATGCAACACATAAGATGTGGTTCTGCATAGTGAGTTTTGTGGACTATTCTGTGGATTTTAACCCCCGTGCGATTAGGAGATTGCAATTCTCCTCTCCCTTCAAAACACCCCTGTGTGTGTTGTTCCTCTCTCTCCCTTTCTCCTCCAAGTTTTGGGAATGTTGGTTGATTTCCATGTGCATGTGCTTGTGCACTTTGATGCATTGAATCATTTTCAATGCAATTCTTCAATGTGTAAGAACTAGAGCGTACATAAGATTTCGGGAATCCCAATTCATCACAAATCCTAAATCCAAACAGTGAGCGTTACCTTTGTTGAGACGGAAAAGTATCCAGTACCGCAAATAAGATTATCGACGTTACTTGCATTTAGGCTGTTACCAGAATAACGGACACACAAAATCTGTCTCGCTCGATGATCTTGTTCGTCACTGTTGATTTCTCTCATTAAAATTACTGTTTTTGCAGCTGCTTTTTTCAAGGGAATCTTTCGCGAAGACCGCTCCTGCTGAAGAGAAGTATGTGATTGCAGGATGGGAGCCGAAGGTGAATCCATGAAATGGTCCTAGATTATGAGCTCATCTGTTGAAGTTTAGTTGTGTAGGGTTAAGACTTATGCATGTCAGACTTGGAACCTAAACTTGACTCGATCGGGTTATTCCCGTGTCTAATAAATGTGTTTATTTAAGTCGTCTATTATTATTAGTATTAAGCCTATTACTCAGGAATGAGGATCCCGAATCTTGTTCATTCATCGTACATCGTGCAGTTATATATTATTTTAAGTTTTTTATTTAAAATTAAACATAAATAGTACTTGACGAAAATTGATCATACAATTAACGATGAACGGATACGATTAAAGGATTCTCTGAATCTTTACAAAGAGAATCCGAATAGGTGCTCATTTATTACTTGGTAAAATCTATGCAGAGTATGTTGACTAACTACTGTTTTTTCACCCTCGGTAATGATTTTTACATTTTCGTTCCTTCTACACTCATTTCATTGCAGAACCACCTTCCCCGTGCTTCTCTGATGATCACTTTTGGAAAGAAGCATGCTTCTCTATATAATTACTTAAAACGTGATTTTAGGGGAGAAACAAATGGGAGTAGTGATTATGGTCATTTATTATTCTCTTCCAAACGAGCCCTTTATTGTAAAACAGAAGCTGTTATTTGGTGCAGTATTCAGTAGTGCAACAGTAATTCTTGAGGTAAATGCCTGCTAGGCGCGTGCTTTTCGAGATAGAGAGGAGACCCATATTAAGGTCCCCTTTGGTAATTTTATTTCGACCAGAACTCCTTCACTTTTAAGTTAAGCCGTAAAAAAATGTTTGATAAAAATAAAATATTTGCATATTTTAAAAATGAGCTCCACACAGCAGATCCCTTTTAAACATTAAAAATTGTTTTAATAAAAAGTGAAGTTGAGCATATAAAGAATATTTTTAATTCTTTTTTTTTTTTTTTTTGGTTAAACGATAGATTATGTTAGATTAGCTAATGACGGAGTTTGAACTCACGTCATCATGCAAAGGCTCAACATCTTTCCATCATTGTGGTAAACCGCCACTTGCATATTTTTAATTCTTATAATACACGTATTATTTAAAAAAAATGACATTATTTATCTTTCTAGACATATTTTATCTTTGACAAGGTTCTAAAAAATGTTAGCCGCTAATCGGACGGCAGAGAAGGCAAACAATCCGAGGCACCCAAGAGAAAGCAAACAATTAGAGGCACGACCATATTTGCAGAGCAATTAGATTCCTTTCTATCAAACCCATTCTTCAAAAAGCATAGAAAAAATGGAGGTAAGTAAAATTTCAGTTCTCACATATCACATCCCTTTTCATACCACACCAATCTCTGATCTCTGAAAAAGGTGGAGTGGAAACCTGGGAGAGGGAATGAAAGAAGAATTTGAGAGAATAGCCGGGTGGCTGTGGGAGGTGGTTGGGAAATAGATAAACACTACATCTCCTTCTACACAAAAACTCCTTAGACCACAATCAGAAAAATACTATACCAAAAAATTACAAAAACCCACAAAATGAGGCGCTGCAATACCTATGCCAATGAAAAATACAGAAAATGCAGACTAAATGAACACAATTGAAATGCAGAATATGGGCAAAATAGATAAAAATAAAATAAAAAATAAAAAATGCATAAGTAATTTAAAAACTGCACATAAAAATAAAACTTTACCCGCTGCTGCAAGGTATTCCTCCCATTCGTTGTGGAGGATATCAAAGTGCTTATTCCGTCAGTCATTGAAGTTCCATTTACCCAATTCGTTGTCAAGCCAACGGGGGGGCTCATCGTCTTGCATGGTTAGGTCTACCTGTGAGTCAGTGTTGTGAATGGTTAGGGTCTCCTCCTAGTATCCTACTGGATTGTTCTTTGCCCCGAGTGAACTTTTGTACTGACTTGTCAAATGAATACTACTACCGTTTCCTTAAAAAAATAAAAATAAAAAAATAAAAAAAGGTATTCCTCCCATCTGTAGATCCGATTAAGCTATTTTTCCAGAGCTTCAACCACGGACCCAATCATGAATCCCTAAATTTACCCAATCTTAACAACATGAAGAATTTAGTACAAATATTTAACCGAGCAGGAAACTTCGAAAGCAAAAAGAGTTACGAAAAAAAACATTAAGTTTCATTGACTACCAAATGAAAAGGACAAAAGACCACTAATGTATGAGAAGTTCCTGAAGGAATAAGCAAGTAGATTGCAGAATGTAACCATGAACATAGTAGGCGAAGCACGAATGGGAAGAGGCCATGAGGTTTTCTTTAGTCAAAAAAAAGGGAGAACCTGCAAAACAAAGTTGGATTCTCAAGAGTCATGAAATGGCTTTCTTCAAAAGTGCTTGATAGAATCCAATCAGCATGTATATAGATGCATAATTTATGTTTGTGCGGGAGTCTAGTAACTGTTGGCAGCGTCAAAGCATGAATTGAAAACAAAAATTTACTCAAACCATTCGAAGTAGCAGGAACGACCAATGTTCTTCCCTCCTTCTCTAATGCTGGATTTGTGAATTACTCAATGTGAATTTGTGAGTTCTCGGGAGTTTTATTTATCTTTTTTGTCAGTTTGCGGCAGTTTACTCTCGAGTCCTCCATGACCAGGTTTCCTTTTTGCGTTTCAATTTCTTTTCTTTTTTTCCTTTCTATTATCTCAGTTTGTGGCAGTTTAGTTCGAGTCCCTTAACGATCAGGGTTTTTTTTTTTTTTTTTTTTTTTTTTTTCAAGTTTAATTTTTTTTTCTTCTGTTTTTCTCTTTTAATTGTTATTTTTTCTTGTCGCTTAGTATTGCAGTCTAGTGGTATTCCTCTTCATTAGTTAATAAGAGGTCTTATGTTTGATTCTCGCCAAAGACGAATTTGAATCACATTATTTTGGTCTAATAATTAGTGTGAAGCTAAGCCCATTGTTAAAAAAGAATTGTTATTTTTTCTTACAAAACTACCCTTAGTAATAATTTTTGTATTTCTTTTCAGTTAATGCGTTTTTTTGTTCTAGGGTTATTTTGGTCTAATTATTTTTGGAGAAGTCTTGAGACACCAAAATTGATTGCTGACCTTCTAATATTAGAGATGTCAACTCTTAAGTGAATATCACGTCATAAAATTTTGAAGGTAGATAAAAGTTTTAACCAATATGTTAATTCTATGTTAATTGCGTAGAGATTGTGTGCTGCCAATTTTCACATATGAGAAAATTTTATGTCAAATTATTTTTTTTAATTTTTTGTTATGCAGGTCCTAATAATGCACCAATCATAAATCTTGAAAATTAGTTTTGAAGAGTGGGTTTTACAAATATTAATTGAATAAGAAAAAAGCATATAGGTTGGAGCAAATAAAATTTAACGTTGCCACGTAAGCCTTCAAATTTGTATTTGACATTTTTCTTTTGAAAGTTGTACTCAAGAAGTGACAATGAATTAGGGAAACTAAATTTATAAACTAAATGACATGGAAGTTAATAATTAGATTATTACTTAACCGTTGATTAATGTGTTTATTTTCTATTAATGACACATGATTTGATTTGTAAATTTAATCTCCCTAACATTACCTTTTTTCAACCAGTAAGTGTTCGCATTAACCAGTGACTATGAAAGATTTATTCTTATTCTTCTAAAACCACATGGGGCAGTCGAGATTTTTTCACAAAAAACTAAGATGGTGAAAAAACAAAGAAACAAACAACGAAAAGAAAGAAAAGGAAGTTATGTGATTACGACGACACCCAATGTTGGAGTCCCCGCATTATTTGCTTCACTATTATAGAATGAGGATCCTTTTCGGATCTTCTTTTGTAAGGATTTTGGTGATCTTTAAATCGCGTTCATTCATCGTATATCATGTAATTAGTTTTCGTTAATTTATATTCAATTTTAAATAATAAAAAATTATAATAATTTATGACTGCACGATGTATGATGAACGAACGTGATTGGAGGAATGAGGATCCGGTTCATTATTATACACCCTCCCCCTAAACAATTAACATCAATAATAAAGTTTATCCAACTTCTTTTTGTGACACTTCAATTATTATTTAGTTTTTGTTCAGCATATGTATTTGGTGCTTGTGGTAATGCTAAGGATATCACATTGTATTATTTCTCTAATAAAGTGGTGTCTATCGATATACAAGTAGGTTATGCTTGAATTAGAGAGGTGGTACAATGTGATCTCTCCTCTTGCATTGTAAATTACATTAATTGGAAAATCATGGCACGTTTGATAATCATTTGATTTTTTCAGATTCAGTTTTTATTTTTAAGTTAGAAATAAAGAAAGAGTAGTGTTATTCACACACCAATTTTTACTTCTAACACATCCTTGTTAATTTTTGTGTATTGATCTTCTTTTATTCATTCGATTCGACGGTCAGAATTGAGAGAGGTGTGTAAAGAGTAAAAATGAGTGTGTGGATAACACCACTCATAAAGAATACAAGAAAGAAATGAAGGATGAATAAGGACGAAAAAGATTGAAAGTAAAGATGCGGAAGAAATCCACATTAATTCCAGGTTCATTTTCTCCCTCCTTCCTTCTACCACACTTATTTTGAAGGGTGTAGGGACAATCAATCTGTAGTGACGGGAATCTAAGAATGAATGGGGATCCCTATCAATATAAAAATGAGGAATATAAGAGTTATATCATTAAATCTCATATTGCAAGAAATCCAAGAATTTCTAGGGGCACTAGCACGAGTAAAAAAGGTTGAAAAATCTACTATTTGAAAGAGAGTAAAACGGCCCATATAACTTTCAATTTCCTGAAAAAGTAGGACATTGTATTGATGCTAAATAAATAATAATTTAAAACAAAACAAATTTTAAGACTCACTAATTATAAGTTTACAAATGTCATCAAATAATAAGTAAAAAGAGCTATAAATATAACGTTCACTAAATAATAAAAAGCAGTTCAGCCTTAAACAGCCAAACAAGAAGGAAAAAAAAACTTCAAAAACTCTAACTTTAAAGCTTTACTTGATATATAGCATTATTATATAATAAAATTAAAAAAAAAAAATTGTTATCGACACTTCAATTTTTTATATTTAGAAAAGACAAATTTACAATTTTGAGGATTGCACAACGAGATTTGCCACCAACAATTATGAGGATTGCACAACAAGATCTACCACCAACCCCACCCCACCCTCGGCGGGGGCCAAAAGAAAAAAAAAACAATGTTGTTAAATGTCTTAAGGAGCCATTTTATAAATTTCGCACAGGATCTCCGAAATCTCAGAGATGATCCTGCTTATTCCTCATTCTTGATTCATATGTTCTTCCATCTACATTTTCTCTATATCTGAGAAAAATAAAAATAAAAATAGTTATCAAAACGAGCTCTAATTAAACGTGGTTTTATTATTATTTATTTTCATACAGAGAATAATACCATACATAAATATATGTATCTGTGCATGGGGTCGGATAATAAGACGATCATTCGATCTTATTGGCCATTGTAGTTTGGCTGCACATATCTGAGGCTACCAACCAGAAAGCAGACGCCAAGGTGAGATCGCTTTCGATCGACAAATTGATGGCATGAGTGCGTAAATAACTAGTCGTCGGAATCTTTGGAATCCGATATCATCTTTTGGATCAATTGGCTTGTCTCTTCCTCTGACATTCGATCTCCTTTGTTCTGAGACTCTTCATACGCCTCGAAGAACTCCTTGTTCACTTTCTCCAGTTCATTCCAAACTGCACCACAATCATTCATATATCAATGAATATGATCTTCACTACTTTATGATCCGTACTATAACTAAGATTTACGTCAAACAATCTACCAACTAGGTTAAGATCGTATATTTAATCACTGCTAGCTATCTACATATATACAACTTACCGTTTGGGAGACTGTTGAAGATGCATGGTACCATACTCGAATTTGGCTCAATTTATTTTTGAACAAAAGATATAGAGGGTGAGAATTTCGATTAATAATCTCTGACATACTGGGGTTAATTAGTACACTCTTAACCACTAGAGTAATTGCAAGCCTCCGACGGATTAATCTTATTTTAAAGCTGCCCGTATAATATGTTTAAGCCAAAGTTGTGCAGATGCCTTAATGTCACAGTTTTACTAGAAGAATCATTAGCTTTTGTGTTTGTCAATTTCAGAACAATAATTTTGACTCACGGATGATGATCAGCCTACAAACATGCATCCCTTGGTTACTCGCAGCCTCAAGAACTTAGGTGGTGCACAGGTTTGGTGTTCGTTTGCTTGCATGCATGTTATGACAATATGACTATATTGCACAGAGAGAGAGAGAGAGAGAGAGTTATAACCAGTAGAAGTGATGACAGGTTGGATGTTTGCGTGTTTAGAAAGAGCTTCCATGCACTCCTCTTTGGTCATGTGGTAGATCAAACACTTCTCTATCAGGTGCTGCACCTACAGTATTTCAAATTAGGGCACAACCATCATCTCCTATATCATAACCAATTAAGCAAAACATAACATGAACACATGTAGCTTTTATATATGTATGTACTCGAAGTTGAATAAGTTACCATGTGTATGTATGATGCTGATGAAGAATCTCCCATGATCTCTATTTCTATGATCTCAATTAGGTCGAACTCTATCTGCAACTTAACCACACAAACAAGAGAGAGTATAATATGATTGGGACTGAGGGAGTTGTTTATGTAAGATATATATACATACAAAGCTTAGTTAGCAGGCTAGAGATCGCAGGGAGCTGAGAGACTGAGAGTCATATGATTGGGAGAGAGATGCAAAAAACATTGTTATTAAGAAAAATAAAAAGGGCAAAGGGGCCAGACTACAAAGCCGTAGTGGGTTGGGGAATGTAGGCGTCCCACGTGGGAGATAGATTATAATTGGTGGAGAGGGGATTAGAGGAGATTTGTAAATGACCATTTCTTTGTCTTCTAACCCTCTGTCCTGCGGTATTTTGTCCCAAGTCGCATTTAGGCAGCCCCTCCTCCACGTGATCAGTGGGTCCCAACCCTAGTCAAATCTCTTCCAAACAGACAAACCATAAGGCATATTAGCAACTTTTTAGCAAAGATCAGTGATGAAGATGGCAATCATCTCTATCGACCTTCATTGGCTTGGCTTTGGCACCCCTAAACTACAAAAGAAAATTTCTCAAATTCTTTCAAGAGATCATGTATATGCATGAGGGTAATTGGTTTACCTTGTGAATGTGGTGTTTGTTGAAGAGCACCCTATCTAAACCCTGACGCAACAAAAATCTTTTTTGAAGTTTTTTTTGTGATAGAACTTCACACTTACTTGACTAGTAACTAATTCAGCTTAAGTCAACAATTTGTTGCTTGACACATTAATAATAAATCAATGGACTCTCTATCTCTGAGATTTTGACAATTGTATATGCGTCCAGCTCTCATGATGATTTTTCTCTGCTTGCTATGCTACAAACTTTGCCCATACCAAGACATGGCATCCGCTGATTGTTGGATATATAGCAGTAGCACCATTATAAAATTAATGATTTGGTATCTGAAACTCCCAACTTTTTAGTTTCATTTTAAATTGGTCTCAACTTATTAAAACATTCCAAATAAGTATTCAACCTATTAAAAATGTCACATTCGTTAAGTCCCAGTTAATTTTTCCGTTAAATGTGGATGTGGCAACGATGGATTTCACTTATTTGCTTACTTGGACACTAAAATAATAATAACATAACTTCAAAATAGACATGAAGATGAAAAAAGAATTCACAAATAAAATGGAAAACAAAAATGAAGATTTGGAAATCTCCTAACAAATAATAAGGTTAAAAATTCAGATATGATTTCAAGAAGCTGATTTCCTCATTCCCCAATTTTCGGCTAGTAATGCTTTCAGTTCGTTTTTGTGGGCGGTGAAGGTGGTGGCCACATCATGGCAGTCCATACCATTTCAGTAACCTCCAGAACCTTCTTCTCGATGTTGATAGCTTAAGTTGTAGGGTGAAGTTTGTGGTTGTGCGTTGGGTTTTGAGGTGATGGTCTAAAGGGGATGGTGGTACGGTACTTGGTGAAGGCCATTCTTCTATGACCTTTTATTGATATTGGAGACAAATTAAGCCCCAGTTAATTTAACAAAAAATGAATTGGGGCTTAACAATGTGACATTTTTAACAGGTGTTTGGAATGTTTAAAAAGGTTAAGATCAATTTAGAATGACACTAAAAAGTTAGAGAGTAACTTAGGTACTTAAATCCTAAAATCAACACAGTATGATTCCTATATAATATCCCAAGAGCTGATATGCCTACCAAGCAATTGTTCTATGGAGATATCCATGAGTGCTTCAGTACAGGTTTTGCAGAGGCAGAGGCAGAGGCAATACTGAAAGAGTGGGGGCAAATAGAAGACGGCGACGAGAGGCAGAACTGGATTGTGTGCTTAATATCATGGACAGAGCCAATGAAAGGCTCATTTGGGGCAGAAGCTCCAATCAAGTAATTCGTTTGTTTAATTACAAACTACAATTATATAATATATATGGGTTATATTTGACGAAAATATATGTATCTAGTATTCAACATATATTCATTCTACTCATACTTTATATCAAATATTATACGAGCAAAAGTGCTCTTGTTTTGTCATTCAAACCGAGAAAACTCTCTCCCACCTATCATGTACTTATATTTTTCTCATCACTTTGCCACTTTCCACTATTATATTGAAATTTTTGTAATATTAGAATTATGATACATCATCATTTGAAACCATCTGTAACATCATATTGCGTATAACCATACTATAATAAGGTTGCCCCCACTAGAAAAAATTTATAGCTCCGTTCCTTCTTAATATGAAGGTCATTTGGGAACAATAGTGAGCGAAAAAAATAATGTTTTCACTTTTTAATTTGTAATAGTGGGTGAAAAAAATAAATAAAAAAAAGTGGACGGATAAATAGAAAATGTAGGTGGGTCTAGTAGTTCCTCTAATTTAGTGAGTGGTATTTTAATTTCGGACGAAGGATTTACCTTGCAACCGCACTAGAGAGCTAAATGCAAATAATGATGAACATGCAGTGATCAGCTCACTGTCTTGTCTTGCTTAATCTACAGAGAAAGAGCACAAAATTTGTGGGGGTCACCAAAACAGTTATAGAATCTTAACTTTCGGGGGGCTGTTTTGTTTATCTAATTTGACGATGCACATCTTTTAGTTCACTATATCATTTTGTTTTTTTTGCAAATATATAAATAAAATCAGATGAGTCTATGACTATATATATTAAGAGAACTCTTCTTATCAATTGTTTATCTTTTTTTTTCCTATTTTGTCCTCACTTTTGATATACAATACTTACATAATGAAAGCAAAATAGTAATTTTGTATATTTTAAGAAAATGACAATCATATCCCTATTTTTTCTATTTTACCCTCACATTTGATACACAATATTTACATAATGAGAACAAAACAGTAATTATGTAATATTAAGAGAAATTGTCTCATCATCATTTTTTCATACTTTTTTTTAAATTTTAAAACCTAATCACACTTCTTAATAAAAAAAAACAAAAAACAAAATGAAATTGTTCACACACACAAAGTGTGTGCTCATCGGCTAGTATATATGGATTTGGATCATCTCTTGAGCCAATGGAGAGGATCCTCCTGACCAACCATTGTGGGCCGTTGGATTTTTATCCAATGGCTACAAATAAGGGGATCCCTTTAAAGTTATAATAATTATAGCCGTTGGATGAAAATCCAACAGCCCACAATAATTGGTCAGGAGGATACTCTCCATTGGCTCAGCAGAAGATCCAAATCCAGTATATATATATTGCAGCTCCCATTGACAAAATGTATGAATTTTGAATAGCCATGCGTCTTTCTTTTGCACGTGTATCTATCTATTATCTATTATTATATTATATTATATTATATTTATATATAAAGAGAGAAGAAAAGGTGAATAGTGTTTTGGTGTCATCAAACTTCAACAAAAAATAATTGGACAAAAATGATCCCAAAACAAAAAAATTTAAAGGCTTCTCAAAATAATGCATCAAATAAGGCAGGGTATTATCATCTTTTTAATAGTATTTTTTTTTTAAATAATTAATTTGTGTGTGTGTTTTTTTTTTTTGTTTTTTTTAATTATTTTTATAATTAGTATCTCACAATAAGTTAGCAATAATGTGATTCAATTTCTCTATTTGTAAACACATTCAAAAAGTCTTAAGAGGTGTGTAATGCCGGTTCTCAAAAAGGTCATTCGCATGCGGATAATAATGTGATTAAATTAGTTGTCAAACGATTGTTTTTATTTTTATTTTTAACAAACAATATTATCTACACTAAGGGTGAGGGGGTGAGCTTAACCTTACAATGGGTTAGCAATAATGTGATTCAATCAGTTATTTATTAAATATTATTTTCTCCATTTTTAAACACGTTCAAAACATCTTAAGATGAGTGTAATACTTGTTATAAAAAGCTCTTTCGTACGTGGATAATAATATGATTAAATTAGTTGTCAAATGATTGTTTTTTGTTTAACAAACGATATTATCTACACTAAGGTGGAGGGGGTGGGCTTAGCCTCACAATGGGCTAGCAATAATGTGATTCAATCAGTTGCTTATTAAATGCTAGTTATAAGAAAGGTCTTCTGCACGCGGATAATAATGTGATTAAATTAATTGTCAAATGATTTTTTTTTTTTAAACAAACGATATTATCTACACTAAGGGGGAGGGTGGGCTTAGCCTCACAATAGACTAACAATAATGTGATTCAGTCAATTGTTTATTAAATATTATTTTCTCTATTCTTAATGTAAATTCTATAAAGAACGATTTTATTATGTGAATTCAACTATTTTAATTGGTTTATGAGAGGTTTCTTCTAGGAATTTCTTCTAGCATGATCTAAGATTATTCATTTATTTCAAATATTTGAATTTTCTTTTGTCAATTTACGTATACAAATACATTTAAAACTTTTAAGTCGCGCTTAGCATGCCGTGATGCAAAAAAATATCTTTTGCATAATCGCAAACGCATGCATGAAAGCTAGTACATATATATACATATATACATATATATAGATATACACACACACACACACATATATATATATATATATATATATATATATATATATATGTAAGAGCACCAATAATTGAAACAGTTAAGAGTATAATGTTGTAGACTGCGTTTTGGGCCGCAGAAAGTTCCTCCTTCCTTGCTGATCGAGATATGAGACAAATATTCATCATATCTATATATACACATATATACACATATATATATATATATATATATATATATATATATATGTAAGAGCACCAATAATTGAAACAGTTAAGAGTATAATGTTGTAGACTGCGTTTTGGGCCGCAGAAACTTCCTCCTTCCTTGCTGATCGAGATATGAGACAAATATTCATCATATCTATGTCAGAATAGTACTGAACTCGAAATTTGGATGCTTTTAGGCAGTAAAAATTCATGATTCGAACTTCGAAGGGTTTTTCCTCTATTTTTTTTTTCAATTTTTATAAAAACACATAAGAAAGCCTTCAATTTAGAATCTGGATCCTCGCCAGATCATTTTTGTGAGAATTTTGAATATCAGTTAATCGTGTTTATTTATCATACATCGTGTGGTTACAAATTATTTTAAAGAAAAACTAATGAAAAGGATTTGAAAACTTTAAGTTTTAATGATAAAAACAAAATAAATGGTAAGTGAATAGTACTAAGATGAACTTTTTAGTGTAAAAATGTAGTTTTTCGTTAAAGTGAACAGTATCGTAAGTTTTTC